TTTATTTAATTATTTTTTCTAGAACCTAGTCCAAGGTTTATTTTTTAAATGGTTAAACAGTTCTAATTATTTTTACTGAAACTGTTAAATTTTCTCTTGATATCATTTTACACAATGCTTTTTATGTTCCATCCTTCAATGTTAATCTTATTTTTGTCTTAAAAATAACTTCTGATAATTCTATTGGATTATTTTTTCTTCAAACAAAATGTATCTTACAGGATCTAAGCAAATGGAAGATGATTGGGCTTGCTGAAGTTCAATCTGGCCTATACCATCTTCACAGACCTTTCACTCAATCTAATAACAAATGCTTGCCTCCTAGTTCATTAGTTAAATCATGTATCGTTGTCTCTGATCTTTAGCATTTTCAATTAAGCTATATTCCACCATGAAAAATTAATCTCCTAAGTAGTTCTGATTCTTCTGTAATGGCTACTAGCAATTCTGTCTATGAGATTTGCCTTTTAACTAAACAAAAAAGACTGTCTTTTCCTCTATCAACTAATAAATCCAGTCAAGCTTTTCACCTTTTTTTTTTTCTTTGGTTATAGATTCTTCCTTACTATTATTAATGATTACACTATATTCACTTAGTTATTTTTAATAAAATCCTAATATGAAACTAGAGTTATTCTTACTAGCTTTCTATCTAATGTTCATACTCATTTCAACACTAATATTCAGACTTTTAGATTAGACAATGGACAAGAGTTTAATATGCCTGTCTTTTATCAAGAGCATGGCATCATTCATTAATTATCTTGTGTTAAAACACATATACAAAATGGAAGGGTTAAAAGAAAACATTAACACCTATTGAATGTAGCTAGATCTTTCATGTTTCAATCCAAACTTTCTTTACCCTACTGGACAAATTGCATTCTCATAGCCATTCATTTGATAAATCGCACTCTTCATCCATTCTCAACAATCAAACACCATATCATCTTTTGTTTTAGAAACCACAAATCCATGACTATTTCAAGGTCTTTGATTGTTTATACTTTGTTAGTATAATCACAAGCAACCAAGGCAAATTTCAGCCATAAGCCATGAAATGCATTTTTCTTGGTTATCCTTCACATATCAAAGGATACAAGCTCCTTGACTTATCAACTCTCAAAATCTTTTGTCTATCAAAATATAGTTTTTTATGAATCTATATTCCCATCTATTCTAGACACAGTTCATATATTTTTTATATTTCCAGATTTTCCTCAAACTTATGATTCCATCTCTTGTATCCTAACTAAATCAGTTTCTCAAAACTCTATTCCTCTTGTAAATATACCTTTAGTGAATTCTGTTCCTGAACTTTCTTTTTTTGACAATAATAATTTTGTAATCTCAGAAGGTATGAAAGAACTAACCATTTACCTAATTACTTAAAGCAATATTATTGTGGTAATGCGGCTTAGATTCCTTCAGCAAATTCGACATCTTCTGGTTACTCTTTCTCTAGTAAGCCCTAGTATATATTCTCTTTCCTATCTAGTTCCAGATTGTCTTTTAAACATAAAGCTTTCACTTTTGCTATTTCATCTATTTTTGAATCAACATCTTATAAACAAACCAGCTTAATTCCTTATTGGCAAAATGCCATAACAAATGAAATTAAAGCTCTTGTGAAAAACTAAACTTGGGATCTAGTAATTTTAACTCAAAACAAATCTGCTATTGGTTGTAAGTGGGTATACAGTATGAAATTTTAGGCTGATAGCAGGGTTGAGAGGTACAATACTAGATTGGTAGCTAAAGGCAATACTTAACTAGAAGGAATTGATTTTTTTTTATACCTATTCTCCTATTACAAAAATGACAATAATTAGAGTTCTTATTACTATTGTTGTTGTTAAAAAATAGCATTTACATCAATTTGATGTCGGTAATGCTTTCTTGCATGAAGACTTAAATGAGGAGGTATACATACAATTGACATTAGGTTTCTACAATCCAAATGACTTTTGGGTTTGCAAACTCAAAAGGACCTTATATGGTCTTAAACAAGCTTCTAGATAATGGTTCTCCAAGATGTCTTCCTCTTTACTGCACTATCGTTTCAGACAAGAAAATTCAAATCCCAATCTTTTCATTAGACAAACTTCAATCAACTTTATAGCATTGTTAATATATGTTGATGATATGATCATAGCTTTCAATGATCTTACAGAAATATCTATATGAAACAGTTTCTTCATGCATCTTTTCCTATAAAAGATTTGGGAGAGCTGAAGTACTTTCTAGGCATTGAAGTAGTTAGATTTGCTAAAGGTATTGTTCTTTGTCAAATAAAGTATGCTTTAGATATGTTGGTAGGTAGTGGTTTTTCTGGTGTTAAACCAGCTAGTTTTCTCATGGAATCAACTTTGAAACTCACTACTAATGATCCTAGTTCTTTATTATCTAATCCTGCATCCTATCAAAGACTTTTTGGCAAACTTTTTTTTATCTCATAATCACACGACCAGACTTGTCATATGCAGTCCAAGATCTCGATCAATTTATGTCAAATCCTTGTGCAATGCACTTACAAGCCATAAAGAGAGTTTTTTGATATCTTAAGGCAACCTCAGGTCAAGGATTATTTCTCAAAACTAGTTCTGCTTTGCATTTAAAGACATTATGATAATGATTGGGGTGGTTGCATTGACACTAGAAGGGGTGTCATTAGTTTTTCAGTTTTTCTTGAGGATTCTCTAATATCTCGAAAATCAAAAAAGCAACTTACTATCAGTAAGTCCTCAACAAAAGCTGAATATAGAGTTTTAGCAACTATCATGTGTGAGCTTCAATGGTTAATTATTTTGTTGGCTGTTTTAGCATTGTTATATACTGATAGCAAACTTGCTTCAGAAATTGCCTCCAATCTAGTACACCATGAAAGAACCAAACATTTACAACTAGATTGTCATCTTGCTAGGGAGAAATTGCAGGAGGGCTTGATTAAAATCATTCATATTTCTTGGTTGGCTGATGTTCTCACCAAACCTCTCAGTTGTCTCAATTTTCATGATCTTCTCAATAAGATAGGAATGATGAATATTCATTCTCATCTTCAAGAGAGAATGTTGGAATATACATAATACTATAAATATGATAGAGTTAAAGTTTGTTGTTGTTGGTTAGTAATTCAACTTAATTAATTATACTAGTTAAAGATTAGCTGTAATAGATTAAAGTTAGTTGTAACATATTAAAATTAAGTTTATATATATTGGCACCATCTTGTAAAGTTGAGGTACAAAATATATATTAAAAGAATAAAAAATTTCCTTTTCAAGCAGAAAATATATTTTTTTATCTTAAGCTTCACATTTCTCTTCTCTGTACAAATCATTGGTGTGCAGTTTTTATATTTTAAGCAGACATTTCAATTTTTGCAATCTTCACAATTTATAAAGGGATATTAGTATGCAAATCCAAATTAATACACTGATAAACTTTTTTCCATGAGATGCTGAGACTAAGGTAGCCTTCAAACGCCATGTAATTGCAATTGCTATTTTTCTGAGGCAGCAAAGGGTTTAAATTGGATTTTCATTTTTTACGCAGAACCACTTTTCGAGGACATCTTGGATGTTAAGCCCCAACGAACGTAAGGGTTGTGATAAAGTAAAACAGATGTGGGTTCACAGATGAGACTTTTTTTTCATCAAGATGGTGGCTTCACACAGGAATCGGGCTAGGTGGGGTGTTTCGGAGTCAAAGGATTCGGAAGAACAAGTTGTTTAATTGAGTAATTGAAGGCACAAAGACATCTGTCCTGGACCGTACCAAGAAGGGCCATGGACTAGTGACTCGAGTAAAGGAGGAAGGAGGAAAGGAATGGTGCCGAGTATTGTTACTTTGTCCTTTAAGCTCGGTGATGGTTCTGTTTGTGTTGCTATAATTAGATTAAGGCCTGGGGACAATGTACTTGTTAGTGCACGTGGAAATGACATTTACAGTTGCTGTGGAGAGAACCTTTTTGTAGTCCATAGTTACCACCAGTTTTAATGGCGGGTCATGATTCTTGGTGGCGATGGTAGCTGTTAGCCATTAATAATAAAATACTTGTCAATAGATCTCTAGCTGCAGACATTTCTTTTCAATCAGCTCACTTGAGTATCCATTTCAACTTCTTTTTCCTTCTGGTTTCGGACAAGCATGTACTTGATAGTCATGTCGGAGTTTTGTATTCATGATCGTAGGGAGTCTACATCAATACATGTACATGAGTCATGGGCTTGGTACCAAAAAATATCACCGAATCTCTCAAGAAGACGCAACTTTTCTCCTAGCTAAGATTCTTGCTTCAAAACTTGTTATTGAATAAAATGCACGGTTTATTTTTTAATAGTTTTGTAAAGGTTTGAAAATATATTAAAATAATATTTTTTATTTTTAAAATTTATTTTTAATATTAGTATATAAAAATTATCTGAAAATATATAAAAAAATAAAAATGTCCCTCCACCCTCCTCGACGAAAGCAAGCTTGAAATCCAAGTTTGTTTTTCTGTTCTATATATATATATAAAATAAATTCAATTAAAAAACATTAATATATATATATATATATTAAAATGTTTTTTAATTGAATTTATTTTATATATATATATAGAACAGAAAAACAAACTTGGATTTCAAGCTTGCTTTCGTCGAGGAGGGTGGAGGGACATTAACATGTAACAAATATTTGTCCTACGTAATTCTCAAAAGGGAAACTAGAATGGTTCTCTCCTGCTGATGCATGGCGTGCTCCTTTACATGAACCAAACGCCACCCTTGATCTAAACACCAAGGGATTCCCCCACATGTTTCAGCACTTAATTTTAGTTTCTAATTTGTGAGTAAGTTTCCTTTTGTTCTGTTTTTTTTATTCATCTCGTTTTATCAAAAATAAAATAATAATAATGAACATGCTGTGCTGCCCTGCTCTTTAAACATCTTGTCTTGTGTTTCAATTTCGACAGCAGAAGTTTCAACTAGAAAGGAGCAACAAATTGAAACAAAATATACAGCATAAAAGCAGAATACCATATGATTCCAACAAAATTGGCAGAAAACAACTGCAAGAATAACATTTATATTCAAGGCACTCCCTCAACAAGGAAAACGAGCTCCAAGCCCTAGAACCTGATCTCAAACCTCATTCTATGATAATGAAACAAATTAATGGACACTTATTTTGTGTTGAACAGCTCACAATCACGGCTAATATGACACAAACAGTGTGTACCTAATTATATACTAGGATTGATTCAGGTGAAAGATTGAACCACAGAAGAAGTGGTGACAAGACCTGACAGCAGGCCAACAATTAGAGCACTGTTATATGTGCTTGGTTCCGCCTGCATTGAGTTGTTGCGATCATTACTGACAAATGTTTCATTTAAGAAGGGACCACCAACAAGTGCTCCAGTTGCTTCGTTGGGATTCGGTTCCTTACTTTTAAGCCATGTCCAGCCATCCTTGCAACCAGTTGTTGCATCAGTTGGAATTGAAGCTCCCCTATGATGCACATATTGTGGATATTTCTCACCATAACCGACAAGATAGCTCATTTTCATAGGATTATTTCCCAAGACATAATCAGCCTGGAAGAGAAAAATGCTGCATTATTATGCTTGCAAGGTATCATGGTAGTCTATAATATGTGTAAAAACAGATAGAACATGGGCATCGTACCTGAGATTTCGCAAATTTCCGAAGATCTGAAGGTTTATATGAATCTCCATTGCAGGATATCTTTGCAGTTCCTGAACTAAGCATGTAATCGCTGTAAAGAACAGCTAAAAATGCAGAAGCAACGGGATGCTGCAAAGCATTCCATTCACTGACCCATATAAGACCACCTGTACCAATAACTGGAAATGAGGCCACAATAATTGGGTATAAAATTTTATTAAAATTTTTAACATGTGCCACCCATTTTGTATCTGAAGAAAAGTTGATGGCTCTGAAAAAGAACATTACCATCTGTTCTGCTCTTTGTGGCTGTTGGAGAATCTGGGATGAGACCACACATAACTGCCTCAGCCGTTTTCTTATACATTTGAAGGCCTGAGTTTGAGGTGTCTTTGTTGCCAAGGAAAGTTAGTCTGGACAACAAAACCTGCATCCAAAATAAATGAATCATTCTCTTAAGAAAGACATGGATTTCAAATGTTGCTGAAGAATTCTAATTCACAGTTCAAGGCCAAGTGTAACACGTCTTAGTTTCCCAAGAAATTAGACAGTGATATGTATCTGAAAGCATTCCAAGCAAAAGAAAATCTTGACTTGAGACATTTTAGAGATGGTATCTTCTGGAAAGAAAACTCATTGAACTCAAATTACACCAATAATTTTGTAAATTTTGGCATGCTTTATAAGGAAAAGAAAATAACTCTGTCTTGGAATGAAATTAGTATGATACAAACATTCGTATGAATGTACCTGCGCTCCCGCAAGTTTGTTATCCCAACTGAACCATGTCGGACTTCCCCATTGAGCAAAGAGTTTACCATTTTGCCCAGTCACGTATTGAAGATATGATTTATCTCCCGTTGCATGATAGAGCCAACAAGCTGCCCACAAGAGCTCATCTCCATATCCTGTTGAGTTGTAATATGTGGCAACTTCAGGGATACTTTCACTATATAAACCTCTATATTTGTCGGCAAACGTAAACAACTCTTTAGCATGCCTAAGAAGTGCGCTCGAATATGTGGAGTCGGATTTAAACACCAAAGATGCTGAAGCCATAGCTGCTGCAGTTTCAGCTGCAACATCTGTCCCTGGAAAAGATGTATTAACCTGAGTAAGTGGCCTTTTCTCGGTCATGTCTTCAGGTCTGTCCCAACAACCATGATCAGTATCAGGGTCACCAACCTGTTACAAAATGATAACTAATCATATATATTAAATTAGTTCACAGGTCGGATTCTGCATATAAAAAATAAAGTATACTAACATAGCTCTGGGAAAGTTTGCAGGCCACGTCATGATTCATCACTACTACCTTAATCAAATAACATAACTACATTGGTTTAATCTTTTTTCAGCAAGGGTCCTATTTCAGGGAAAGACCTTGACAATGGCATGAAAGAATGCCAAAACTTTGGAGCTCAAATAACTCCAGACAATCAGCTTAAATTTTATTCCACTTTAAGGGTTCTGGGTATAGCTTATTAAGGCTTGCAAATGGCATCATGACTTAAAATAGAAACATTTAGAGGCCATGGTATATGAACAAACTTGAATGTAGAGCACATTCGCTTCAGGATGCGCATTGATAAGGTAGTCAGTGATCCACTTGAGCGAATCCTTCGCCGGTTCCAACTGATTTACTACATCCATCTGATCTCCATACTCAAGGATGGTCCATGACAATACTGTAGCAGTAAAAGCCATTGGCAAACCAAACTTCATATGATCCCCAGCATCATACATGCCTTTTGAAAGATCTAATTTTGCTTGACTTCCATCTCTAAGAGCTGAATCCCCTCTCCAACTGATCTTGTTGTCTACCAACTTCCCAGCTGGATTAATCAAATATCATCTTAGTGCCAACAATCATAACAAAAAAGATAACTACAAGGTACGAAATTTGCAATGCAATAAAAATAGACATGACCGGAGTTATCAAGACTAAAAAATTCAAAGAATAAGCTCAAGAAAATATCTTAACTAGTGTTATCAATTTGAAACAACAACAATCAAAACTGAACCCAAGTCGATTTCCTTCCTTCCTTCCTTACATTGCATCTTAATTTTAAAGAATCAAAATTGAACTCGTGTTCAAGAAATAAATTACTTTTATACTATATTGAATGAAAAAAAAAACAGAGGGGGAGAACTTACATTTTTGAATGTCAAAAAATTGCGTAGCAATCTTGAGAGCATCAGCATATTTCTTATCAGGAGCGCCAGGAGGCCCTGGAATAGGTGCAGGCCCTTCAGACTTCTCACTTTTCTTCTTAACTGTATAAACAATGGCACCAATAATCAATGCCAATATTACTGCCACGATAAACCACCCAAAGCACCCTCTAGAACTTGGCTTCACTCCCATTTTAACACAAATCAATCAATCAAGATCAAATCTTTAACGTCCAGATCTGAAGAAAATGAAATTCTAAGATATAGGGCACTCCCAATGTGCTTGCATTGAGCAATGCCAGGAATAAATCTGGGGTTTTGAGAGAAAGAGAGAGCAGAAATGACTCTGCAACTTGTTTCCTTTTTTTTTTTTTTTTCCTTTTGCTGGCTTTTGGGTGTTCAAGGGTGTTTGTTATTACATGGAAGCGAAACTTTAGTGCTAGAAATGCTTGCTTTAGGCCCCAGCAATCCTAATTAAGGTACGGTTAAGGTAGATCTAGGTCTGATTAGGGTATATTAGCCATTTGGCCCAATCAGAGCGTTTTGTTTGTAATCGTTGGCTCAAAACGAGACACCGACAACAAGATTACTGTTTCTGATTAATCCTATGATTCAACCATGTACATTTCGGTCCCCATAGTTTAGTATTTCTCAATACCAATCCTAATCTAGCTATTTACTATTGAGTAGTTTACGAGATTAACCAAAACATTATTACTATGAAACACGGCCTTCTTTTTCATCCGATTCTCTCTTACTGTCTTCCTTGCTTTTACACATGTGACAATATTATTGTTGTTTTTCATTAAAACTATGATTCGACCATGTTTCATTTCGACCCGTAGTTTAATATTTTTCAATTCCAGTCCTAATTTAGCTATTAATATACTGAAAAATTACAAAATTAATAAAAAATTTGATTTGTTAAACACTTCCTTCTTTTTCATTATTTTCTCTAATGTTCTCTTATATACTCCTATGCTTGTGATAAGACACAACATAGATTTTATTTCATAATTTGGATGGAGTTAATTTGTGAATGTTATTTAATTAATAATTGATGAAAATTTTATATCATAATTTTTATTTTATTGGCTTTTTAATAATAGAAAATGAATATTGATAAATTATAAACTGTACAGACTGAAATGAGACTTTACTGAATGTACAAGGACCAAAGAATATGTTTTTTTCTTTTTTTAAAAGAAAGTTTCTGCATTGCGAGTCACAAATATGGACTGATCGTAAGGGCCGGATTTGCGCAAGAGATGGAGGCTGACTTGGTCAATGGAGTACGGACTCATATCTGCCGTTGAACCATTGGGACGGTTTGATATGAACCGTTCAAATGGGTCACCGACAACTGGTTTTTGAGAGAGACCGTCGATCTGTTTATTCTTCGAAGCTGATTGGTGGATGATCTGTGTTCTCGAAGCAACCAGCCAACCACCAGACCTGGCTATAGGCTTCAATGCAAGAAGCTGGGGTCAGATGTTGTGGTGTCCATTTCAGTGAAAGAGACACAAGATTGGAGCCTTCTTTTTATTATTATTATTATTAGAGTTGGTAAAGTGTGACCCTCTGCTTGGTGGTGAATGATGAAGTCCAGGAAGATTAGCATGGTTCTATTGAAGTTATGTAGAGATGTTTGGCCCAAATGTAATATCCCATGGGCTTTGTGTATATACTCTGAAAAGCCCGTTGTGTTGTCCGATTTGAGCCCCCACAACATACATAGCTACCTGGCCCAGGATCTAGCACGTAAAAAGATCCTGACTTTTCGTTTTTAGTTAAAACGACATCACTTTAATTTTTCAAAAAACATTATCGGTGTTTATCCAACCGGTCCAAATCAAATCAAGTTTAACCAGTTGAGTAGATTTTGATTACATTAATTTAACTTAAAACGCAGTCTAAATTAGAGTCTAAATCTTGGATTTTCTTAGCCAACCATCCGACTGGGTTTGATTTACCACCTATGCAAAATACAGATAAGTTGGTTGGTAAAAGACAGCGTGTATTCTCGCATTTGAGGACGTGGGGTATCACGAGACCATGTGTTGGGTGGGAGGAAAATGACAGACGGTGCTTGCATTATACGGCGGACACAGTTCAGGATCTGAGATCTGTCCATGCGCATGTAACACACTGTCCTAAGCTATTTCCTACTATAGCGGATAAAAGTATGACGTCCATAAACAAAGAATATGAATTTGTATATCACTTGATCCTGAAGAGAGTGAAGTAATTGTGAGCCTCACCAGATTCTCCACGATTTTGCTCAAATCTCCAGTAGGTGCTTCATGTTGCCTCTTTCCTCTGAGCCATAGATGAAAAGTAATAATCAGCACTCTAGCAATAACAGAATTGTAGAGGATTATCCTCAAAGCCACAGACATGAACAGACCTGCACAGCAGCACGAGGAATCCCATGTGAAAGAAGACTCATCGTCCTTGAAGTTTTTCCTACATCATCAGATACCAATAATTTGAAAACTCGAAGGGTTGTGACTTTGTGCATTGTTTTATCATTCCAAGCATCTATGCTGTTGCTAGTTTGATAATTTTTCAAGAATCGCCGTCTAATATAGCTGCAGTGTTGCTATGCTGTCCTTTCCATCACTGACTATCCTCTGTCCTTTCCATCACTGACTATCCTCTTCCTATTCACCTACTACATGTGAAGAACAGCGTGATGTGTCATTCTGGGCAGCTGGACGTTTGGCTAGTTGTTTTCGTTCTTTTTGCTGCTTTTAACTTCTCGGAAGCCATGCATTGGGCCTATTGGCATTACTTTAGCCAGGTTTGATACAAAGAATGTTGATCATCTAGTCTTTCTCATTACAAGCTGATTGGATCAACTTCAAAACTACTGCTCCTTCAGAGCTTCAATCATCATCCTTGAATTCTCTGTTCGAAATAAAATACACAATTATGTTAGTAACACAATGCAGACTTACAGCATTCGCAAACTTACTGACTTGGGATAGTATAAACTAGTTTAGACAGAGTTTTCTTGTCACTTCCAACAAAGAATTTTATAGAACAATGTCTGATTTTTCCTTGCCGATGTTTGCAAGGATGGGATTAATTAGAGTAATTTAAATATTCAAAGCAGCCATTAGTGCTTTTTTTTCTGTGTACAAGGGACGTGATTGCTAGACTCGTACCTGCGATCTAGAGACCGGAGTTGAATGCCGGAGCCTTGACATGTTGTGCATGTCAAAGAACCTACACCTTCACGATTGATGCATGAAGAGACTTCTTTGTCATCCCCACCTAGCTCCACTGTCACTGAGCCAGTTCCCAGGCAAAATCTGCATTTCTCTGGAAAAAGTAATCCAATTACAAAGAACAACAATCAAAATCTGAACATGAAAACATCATGTGCATACAATCGTCCAAATTCAGCTATGCCTCCACTCTCATGTGAATTTAAATCTAACTTTGAATTTCACCATCCCATCATTTCTTCTAATTGAAATTAATTAATAACACAGCTCACATAAATAAATAAAAAATATCTCAAATTTGGATTATTGATACTCACGAGCACCACTACCACTGCAAGGGAAACATGGCTGAGTATTTTCTCGCTTTGCCTGCAACAAAATAAAACCATAAGTACGACTTAGTGTCTGAAATATGACATCATGCTGTATTGGCAACTACAAGAAGACTAACTTACAGCATTATCAATCTGGCTTTCATAGATAACTGGACTGCCTATCCCAACAGCAATGCTCACGACCCCGACAGAAATTGCAACTATCTGGTTTTGTTTTTTGTTTTTTCCAGAATTAACATTCTTCATAACATTGCTACAACATGTTAAAAAAATTAGGAGGGGGTAAGGATAGAGAAAGAACCGTATTCTGATCAAGATCAACAGCTCTAGTGCATGGATGAGATACTGGTGACCGTTGATGATTGTTTCTTGGAGACTTGAAGGATGACAATGAAGAAGAAGAAATCTCTTGAAGAGGGAAACATAAAAATGGTGAATGAAGACGAGGGATTGAAGGTGCTACTGGCATTTTTGTTTCTTGTTTTCTCCATTTTTCAATGGACTGGCTTGCTCTGTGGATAGCATGCTAAAGCTTCGTCAATTGCAGCCTGGCACGTGCCTCTGAGGAATTTTGGATACGTGGGAACTGCCTTAAGCATGAAGCACCAGACGGTTGTGAGTGGAGTGAGTTGTCCATCAGACACGCTGTCCACGTGGAATTCATTCTATGGAGGATATTATTTTTCTTTTTCTTTTTTGACTTTTGGACTATTTCTCAGAGCCCATGAGCTTGTGACTGCAGTGCTCAACGGCCCAGAGCCCTGTGATTGCAACATGTGGATTTCAAATCAGAGTTTCAACAATTATAGTGAGGCCGATCTTTCGCAACCCAGCTCGATGAGTGCGATTTTATTTGTTTATTTATTAGGAGACCCAAACAAACGGTGTGAAGTTATTAGGTCTACAGGGCAAGTCAACAAGTTAACTCAAGATTACACCGTTTCAGGTTTTTTTTTAAAAAAATAAAATATTATTTTAAAAATTTTATTTAAAAAATATGTTTGGAGTAATTTAATTTAAAACTTAAATTATATCTTCATCTATCAATCAAACCGAATTTAATAATATTATAAAAAAATTATATTTTTTTAAATTCGACTAATTGGTTAAATATAAGACCTAAATATTAATCATTAAACTATCTCACTGAGAATCAATGGGTTACCCGAAAATTATTATATGAACTAGATTCTCGAGGAGAAAAATAGTTTGATTGGTGTAGCAAAATCTAGCCTTACCGCTAGCTGCTCAAGCAGATGCCTGTAGTTGGGTGGTTTGGTTTATTTGTAATAATTCCTCACACTCTTTTAGTGGAGAGTGATTTTTTTAAGGCCACTAATAGTTGACGTTGAATAGTTGTTGAACACATCACGGGGAGATTGTTGGCAATCCCACGACCAACGGCCATAAAAATAAACGCAATGGGTCGTCTTATTTTGACCTTGGCACGGAGTAGAAGAATACTTGTACGAGTATGATGTTTAGCTTTTCAGAATATTTTTATTTAAAAATATATTAAAATTATTTTTTATTTTTTAAAATTATTTTTTATATTACCGCAAAACAACTCAAAAACAATAAAAAAAATAATGGTCTCATGAGTTATGAATTCAACGCTCGTGGATACGCTAGGGAAGCACAGAGCATTCATTTTATTTTACCGTTATCATTGCGTGCGTGCAGGGGGAGAGAGAGCTGGGAAAGGGTGAGAAATGAGAGTGACAGAGACAGACCACCAAGCAGAAATAATTAGACGCACATGAGAGAATGACCATGATGTTGAATTGGGTCTCATGGCATTGGACCCTTGTCCCTTGAAAATGGACGTGGTGATGGACCAGCATATTTACTTTGAGAAACGTAGAATCCAAGGCCTTGGAAGCTTCCCTCCCCACATGCTTCCTTTTATCCTCGGTTTCCCTTTCCTCTATCGTCCCTGAGGTCTCTTCTGGCTTTTCATCTGGTTCTTCACCACTCAACAATGGCTACTTTTATGAGTTGTTCTTTTAGTTTGCTTGTAGTTGACACGCCATCGATCTCCCATGCCTTGAGGGACAGCGGCGTTGTGCAAAGATGAGGACTCGTGTCAGAAGTCTTGCATATTTCCCATACAGTAGCACCACTGTCTTAGCTGGTACATAGTCATCGATGCCATTTCTTGGTATTTCAAGAATTAAATTGGTGTAGACTGTGTTCATCATAGAACATTTTCCTTGGTTAGCTAATCCTCAGTGCCCAAACACATGACCATGTCGGTTTGCTTCCTACCCTGTTTTTGGTGGAATATGGACCGAACTTTGCCCGTGACGTTCCATTAAAGGCGCACAGTGGCTCTTGTCCAAGGGACCATATGGCCCTGGTAGGTGCTTAAGGTGAATAAAGGCACTAGCTAGTCAATCCAACCACCCTCACAACACTACAGATAAGTAAATGACTATCTATCTGCCAATATGTGATAGATAAACAGATATCATATGCGATAGATAAACAGATATCACCTTTCAGTACAGTTAGGGCTTGAAAATTAAAAGATAGGAACCAATTAAAGCTGTGTCTGGAGATCATGGATCATATCCAGGTAAAAGAGGCAAAGCAAAAGTCATATGCCGGCTGGGAGCCTTAAAGGATAGAGGTCACATAGTGGTGAATAAATTTTTAGTTAAAACAATGTTACTTTATTGAATTTAATATACACTACTTATCTAGATTATTATTTTTTAATTTCAATTAAAATACAGTTCAAATCAGATTTTAAATCATAAGTTTTTCAGGTTAATCATTAAAACAAGACTAAATTTAATAACTATATCTTAGTATTTAACTAGCCATTGAATGCCATCTCCAAACTCACATCATCAAGCAGGCATCAAGAACCTCTAGACGTTCTTGGTAGATGGCAAATTAACGGGCACTCAACAAAAATGAATGCGGGCAAGTAAAATTCCATGAGCAAGATTTAAAGCGCTTCCCTCACGGGCCGGCCAAAGAAAAAAAACTAAACTTGGTGCCATAGTATCATTGCAGGTGCTTTACATGTCATGCTTCAAATTATTGCACAATACTATATATGAAATAGTGGGCTTGATAATCTGTATCGACAAGAAAGCAATTAAGAAATAAATTAACAAGAGATTAGTTTGATGTCAGCTGGTGCAGTGACTGGTTCCCTTGCCAATTAAATGATGGAAATAAAAGAGGGAGAATTACTATTTACTCCACGGGGAAGAAATTCTACCCAAACCACCCTCAGGGACTATAATTCAATGCCATTTCTGAATAGGCAGTCCCATAAAGCATGGAAAAAAATAAAATTATATTATGTATATTTAGAGTTTATTTTAAAACGCAAACTCAACTATGATACAATTTATGTTTTTAGATCAACAGTGTTTCGTGAATACAAATTACACTACAATTATAATTGTATTTTTAATTATGTAATTAGCCGTAAAGTTAATGCGACAGATCTAATTAAAATATGCAAGATTCTTGATAGGAGGCAATGCACTTTAGCATTTTTCATGTGTGAGTAAAGGGAAAGCAAGGAGCCAAAAAGAGTGAAAAGAATAGGATTGAATTGAACCTTCACCTCAAGAAAGGAGGGCACAATAGCATTTTTAAAATAATAGGGGAGGCTAACGTTATTCTATAGACCCCACTTTGTAATCTTCTAGAGTTTTTCTCTTATCCATAAACGATAAAATACTTTACTCATTAATAGGCAATTTATTCTCTAACACTTTTGCTTATACTAAAAATAAAATCACTGGCTGGGGATTGTCTTGGGCAATTTATTCTCTAACACTTTTGCTTATACTAAAAATAAAATCACTGGCTGGTGATTGTCTTGGGTCACGTGGCTCACGATTAGATTATTTATGGTTCAGATCCGGAAGCAAGTGCCGTCTGACTAAAGTCAACACACCTCTTTTTTGCAATGGATAAACTATTGTTTAGTCCCTGTAATTCCATGCATGTTACATTTTGGTTCCTATAAATTGAAATTCCTTAATATCAACAAGTCTGCGTCCACATCCGTGCTCTCTAGTAAAGCCCTTTAGCTATCATAGATAACATAAATATATTTTACCTGGAGCGTTCGATATGTGAAGAGTGCTTGCTAAATATAATAAATATTGCTGTACTTATCAAAATTCAATTCTAATAACATTACTCATGTTATTCTTCTATTATTAATAATGTTGATATATTTTATATTCTCATATGAAAATAAATAAGAAATGATTAGTTTAATATAACCGTGTTTCTAGTAAAAGAAGACTAGTACAGTGAATCACTAAAATGTTTATAAAAATAATAAGATAATATTTATTATTTTTTATTGTAACTAGTATGAATGTGATAGTTTTTTAAAATAAATTTTTAGTTATTCTAACAAAAAAAAGTTAAGAATTAAAAAATATAGATGTGGATGCCTTTAGAGTAATACTTTATACTAAATAAGCGATGAAAACCTAAAAAAAAAAATTATTTATATTTATAGATGTGACAGCAACATTTACAAAAATTCATTTTCCACACTTGATTTATGTTTATGGTAATGCTTTGCAAAAAAAATCTTAAAATTCAAAACCACTAAAATATATAAAATCAAATAATGGTCTCGCAATTTATTTCCATTAACTATAGAAGAACAAGGTGAAACCTTCTCGAAACTACAAGGAAGAAAGGATTATATGACGAAGTTTAATTAAAGAGGTCAAAGTGAAATTATGAGAAATCTACAGGGGCTAAAATAAAATCTACCTTAAACTTAATTTTGCTATATACCCCTAGATGACGGTCTCGTCGTCCCTACACTCCAAAAAAGATTAAAAACAATTCAAACTTAAAAGAGAAGCTATAGCATACAACAACGTTACTTTACACTTGTTAAACCCTCTCAGATTCTAGAACACGTAACCAATCCGTTCATATTCAACGGTGATCGAGCCCTAACAGCTACACCATCCTCGTGTATCTCGATCACACAAAAACATATCTCTCTCTCTCTCTCTCTGCGGCTAAAATCAAAAGCAAGTGAAATTTTTTAAAAACGACTCCGCTGGTCTCTCACTCTCTCGCTTCCCCCTCCTATATTTTTTTTCTCTCGCTCTCTATCTCTATCGCCAAGCCGACATCCTAACGGTTCGCTGTCGTAAAACGGCGGCGACGGTATTTCCCTACGGAGGAGTCTCAACATCCTTTTCCATTTCTCGATCTCTTGAACTCGTTCTGTTCTCTTTACTAACTCACATTTGTTGATATCACTCTTTTTTCTGTGTGCGCCTCAAATTAAATTCGTGATAATAAGAATCGTCTTAAAAAGGTATTGAATATTCATATTTTATCATTATTTTTTAATATTATCTGAATGGAATTGTATTTTTATACTAGATAGATCGTTGCGGTTTTAAGTTTTGTTTTGGAGAGGATATCGGCATTGCGGTTGGATTTTAGCCTAATTTTTGTAGCCATTTTTAGTATAATTCTGTTTTTGTTTTCGATTTTGATAGAGATCAAGTGTAGTTTTAGATAATTGAATTTCAGGGTTTTAATCGTCATAAAAAGGTATTAATTTTTTGCTAAAATTGAATCTTTGATATATCTATTTTCTGCATTGTGTTTTAAGCAATGTAATCTTTTTTGTGCGTGATAGGTATACAAGATGATTGGATCATTTCTAACAAGAGGGCTTGTGTATGTTTCCGGCGACCTAATTAATTCATTTTCGCATTTGGACTTTAGATATGAGAACTAAAATGGTTATAATGTATTGGCAGGATGGTTTTTGGCTATGCTTATCCAGCTTATGAGTGCTATAAAACTGTTGAATTGAATAAACCGGAGATTGAGCAACTTCGCTTCTGGTGCCAGTATTGGTATTACACTGTAATTTGATGTTTGTGAATGTTTGAGTGTATTTTTCAGTGCTAGGATTAGGTTTGATTTTCTCTATGGTTGCAGGATTTTGGTGGCTGTTTTGACAGTTTGTGAGAAATTTGGAGATGCTTTTATTTCATGGTATTGATTCTTAGCTTGAATCTATTTGCAATTTCTGTGTTCAACATGTCAATTGGCATTTTCATTTTGTTTTTCTGTCTTGGTGGTGTCTTGAAGGGTTCCAATGTACAGTGAAGCTAAGTTGGCGTTTTACATATACTTGTGGTACCCTAAAACTAAGGTATGTATTTATAAAGTGCTAATAAGAATGTTTAGCTCATGTATTTAAATCCTAATCTTCATTTTAATTGCCCCTCCTGTTTTCTCTGTTTCAGGGAACTAGCTACGTGTATGATTCCTTCTTCAGACCATATGTTGCGAAGCATGAGAATGAAATAGATCGCAGCTTGTTGGAACTGAGAACAAGGGCTGGAGATATGGCAGTTGTATATTGGCAAAGAGCTGCAAGTTACGGTCAGACGAGAGTTTTCGATGTTTTGCAGTATATTGCTGCACAGTCAACACCAAGGCCTCGCGCTGCTCAGGTAATGTAATTAGGAGTATATGATGTTATACTCTTGCCATTATCTCTTATATACAGTTTCATTGTGCTTATAGGGGCATGTAAATTAAACTAGCCAACCGAGGTAACGTGCAATCCAATAGATGTATTCAAATATGGACTTCTTATAGGGGCATGTAAATTATAGTTGAAAGGTGTTCTCTCTCTGGTTTATAAGATGCAATCATGTAGCTGCCTTTCGTGGCATGACCACCTCTACTTCTCTTTGAGGTTTGACAAGGATCTATCAGCATCAATTGATGAATCGCTGCGCGGCTAGTAAATAACGTGGAATTAAATATGAACTTTTGTCCTTTTTGAACCTTGCATGTAGGAGATGGGAAGCTGCAATTGTGGAGTGGTGATTGAAATGATCCATGTTGTCTTGTTGAGTTATACATGCTGTTACACTATCAGTTTTGTACTTATTTTGACTGTTTAAATCACAGCCACAACAGCAAGGTGCTAGGGCTCGCCAGCCTCCTGCTCCCAGTCGTCAACCTTCTACCAACCGCCAGGCAACTCCTGCACAAGCAGATGCCAAGGAACCTCCATCTCCCACTTCTAGCACGTCTTCAAGTCAAAACCAAATGGAAGTGGCAGAGGTGGCAGCAGGTCCTTCAAAAGTACTTGAAGCAGCAGTTCCTGCAACAGCTTCTTCAAATGCCCAAAAAGAAAATGCTGCTGCGTCTGAGGTTTCCAGCCAGCCTAAACCAACCGAGGAAGAAGCGGTGGAGACCGGAGAAGCGCCGCCATCATCTTCAGCAAATGAAAATGAAAACCCTGCACCAAAGGAGACTGTGATGGAGCAAACAATGCGGGTTACACGTGGCAGATTGAGGAAAACCCGTTCTGGAACAAGCCGTTGAAGAGCGCTGTCCGTTTCCTCCTCCAATTTAGCCCTCAGAACTAGCATTTAATCAGTTGGTTGATGTTGATGGGTATTGGATCCTTTGTGACATTGCTGTAAATTTGTCACCTTCTGTTTACTAATTCCATTTGCTTTATTTTTTTGAACTCAAGTTGGCAAATTTAAGGGTCTTGGGTTAATTAAGAGCTGATTGATGCAACCCTAAAAAGTGATGAAATAATTACGAAAATTTAAGCTGTTGAAAATGGTAAATAAAGCAAGTTCAAATAATTGCATGACACCTGTGATGAACTCATATGGTTGTCGGCAATTCACCTATTCACTATATTTCTTATTGCATTTTAAAAATATTTTTAAAAAAATTAATTTTTTTTATTTTTTATTTTAAATTAATATATTTTTAAATTGGTTTGATGTATTGATATTAAAAATAATTTTTAAAAAATAAAAAAATTATTAATATATATTTTAACATAAAAAATAACTACACTACAATCAAGCTATTAACACTTTAAAGAGAGTGCACGCATACCAGGTTACCAAAGAGAATTGCTATGAATTTTTTCATGTTAAAGAATATTCTAAGCTGGTCGGTTTTTCTTTAGGTATGGTGGCGGGTTAGAGATCCGGTTGTTGATGTGGCTAACAAATTTCACTGTTGATGATTTGATTAGGGTTTATTATTAAAATTTGATTTTGGTTTATTGATATTGATATAAGTTGTTTTAAAAAATATTTTTTTTATTTAAAAATATATTAAAATATTATTTTAATATTATTTTTTTTTATTTTTAACATTAATATATTAAAATGATAAAAAAATTTACTAAAAAAATATATTAATATGAAAGCTTTTAAAAAATATAATACAACCACACCCCCAAAACTTTATATGGACCAGTATAGTCTGCGTTTTGGTGGAGGCTACATGCCATATGGACCTATCTATGACAAGAATTAGAGCTATGGATTGGCATCGACCTCAGTAAACATGGTGAGATTTTGATGTCCCATGATGGGGCATGCTCGACGGAAATTTGGATGATGGCACAACCACAAATTCTAAACATAAAGCAAAGGCATCAAGAATCTTGAAAGATTGCAGTTCCAATGTCTATTTTAGGCTCAACTAAAGTGAAATGCCTGATCATGCTATTTGATGATGCTGTCTGCTTAAGCAATTTAATATCAAAAGTAGAAAAATAACAAGCTAGGTGAAGGCCGGTTCCTTGAAAGGTAAGGACGACAAACACAGGATCTTCCAAAAATAATTTAGTGTAAAAGGAAGGGCTATTATAAATTTAACTTTCCCTGATTCATAACAGTAAATCAAAATTTTCTAACATGCCATTGACTTTTCCTCCAAAGCATATCGAAAATAATTATAACGGTAACAATACCTAAAGGAAGAACTTTCATGAATTTGAAAAACTTTTGACATGCACAGTGCACAAGGTACGATTTGTAAATGGCGTGGCTTGTGATTACTGGGTAATTTTAGTATAAGCACGGGCTTGATTTCGTACTTTAATAATTTTTATTCAATAAACTTCGAGCGTGCCTCGCTAGGTACTGCCTACAGTTCATTGGTCTGCTAGTAGAGTCAGTATCTGGGATGGAACTTCCCTGGCATTTAAATAATCAGCTGTGGTTTTTAAAGAATTTTTGTCATAAAATATATTAAAATAATATTTTTTTTAAATTATTTTTTAAATTAAAACATTAAAACAATCCAAACATATAATTTTTTCTTAAAAAAAAACAGTCACTGCATTCCTAAACGTTCTTTAACAGGGCTCAGCATTTACAGTAAAGTTTCCTCTTCGGGGAGGTATTGTTAAGCGACCTAGGAAGCTAAAAGCCTTCATTTGGGGCAATGATATTTTGCAGTGCGACTGCTGTTTATCCAGAGAATGTTGAGCACACTCACTCTCGGTGATGAGGACAGCTTCTGCAAGCTGCTCTGCTGCGATGTAAGCTTTAATCTTGATAAGAATAATCTGCTCTCAATTGTTACCCCAGAAGAGGAGTAATCAGGATATGGAAATTCTTCAGAATATGGCATGAAAACTAAATGAATTTTTGCGCAATTCAGTGATAATTACAAAGGTGAGGCTGCTGACGGATGCGAGAGCCCAGGAGCCACACCCTCAGCTATTAAATTATGACCCATCAACACCAGAGCCGTGGAGAAAATGGCCCATATTTGCAACAAGGATTGGTAGCTGATCAACACGAGCAGCTAGATGTTTAAACGCCCACTGGCTCTTGAATCTCCAAGGCCGAGATACGGTCCTTCACATGGCGTTGCATGATGATTAGATTCTGTTGGGCAGCGCCAACATAGTCACTAATCTTTTAAAAAATTAATATCATTGCCATTAAAGGGAGAAAAAAAATCCAGCTGTAAAATTTAGACTTGCAAAAGTGGAGGGGATATAAAATTAGCCTTCCGGGCATCTTGAACGGCCTACTGCCTGATTTTCATTTACAATGAACTTCTCTTGACGTTCATTGCAGAAGCGACAAAGAGGCCATCCAAGAGGAAAAAAATCCTCGATGTCAGTGGTATAGCATGTGATAAACAATATGAAGGTCAGCAATGATAAAGTTACGCCCCCAGATTCCTCATGGCAGATCCAGATATTTCAAAAACCAGAACTTAATGAATCAAACAAAGTGTTAAGAGAACCTATAAAACCACAATTCTGAAACGCTGACTGAATCATCTGTTGGGAACCAATAATAATCAATAGCCTGCAACAGTATGGATCCCATGCAAACAGGTTAGTCAAGTTTCCCTCCCATATAACCAAACGCCAAAAAACGCGTATAGAAGTCTATGTGCAGGAGCAAAACTAAATATTAGTGAACTGTTATGAAGCAAATTTGAAGCTTCCAATGCTTAATTTGCATGGTCTAGGAATTAACTTATAAATCCCAGATGCTTCTAAAGTTAGTGAGCTGAATGTCTCACGACTGTTTTTGCTACCCTGACACTCTGAAGACAACACTGCATCTTGCTCTCTGCATTGAATACTGTTCCGAGCAGTTGGATCCATTGATTCAACATGCTCAACAGTTACATCCTTGCCTTGTTTGGATTTGCTAAAAGCATCAATAAGTGGGCGTTAAGAAACTGCGTATCTGTTGTGAATACACATCAATGGATCCATCGGTGTTTCCAACAGTCATTTTGTATCGAGGGGAACCAATATCCTGCTCGTGTGAAAAAGCATTACGTCAGATATCAATACATTTCAACAACTTTTAAAGCTCCACGCGTCCACACTTGATACATCATCAGGATCAGGAACTTCCAGATAACTAGCTTCAGGAGCTTTCATTGCAGAAGTGTTTGGTTTTGCAGCCAACACACTACTTGTTTTTGCGCTTGGGTGCGTTTAAAAAATGTGTCTGACTTGAAATGGCATCATATTAATTATTTTTTCGGTGCTTTCCGATGGTTTTGATATGTTGTTGTAAAAAATAATATAAAAAAATTAAAAAAAATTCATTTGATATATTTTTAAGTGAAAATCACTTTGCATCACCATATCAAACACGCACGAAGTAACCACCTGGAAAGTGTCACCGAATTTGGGAAAGGATACCACAGAGATTTCAAAGAAATTCCCAGATTTGTGTACCTGGAAGCATGAAAGGCTGCTAATATCTTCTTCCATTACAACGAGATAACTAACAAAACCAAGTGGGCAGATAAATCAAGAACCAATTCATATTGACACCATAAAATCTGAGGGAGAAATAGCATACTTTTCACGACACACATCTTCCTTCAGGCCTCCCAGAAGTTCTCATCTATCCCTGAAAAGAGAACATGATAACAGCTAAACTCACCACAGAGGTAAAGTCAACCATATGGAAAATGGGGGGCCGGGGGGGTGTAAAACTCAAACTGAAATTAACTCAACTAACCTTATAGATTAATAGAGTCTGAACTCTTCAGTATATAAACTTTCAACTTCAGCCTGTAATCATCTCAAAAGATAAACAGGTATGAAGACCAATGATTTAGTACATGTTATAGTGTTACCTCTTAAACATTGGAAAGCTGAAAAGTCAACTGATGGATGGTCCTTTTACTACAGAGTATCACTTATCTTTTATGTTGTATATACAGATCATTACATGCTCACTGCATCTTCCACACACTGACAATTCATCAGGAATCCACAACATTCAATCCTAATGAGTGAAATTTCAGGTCATTTAATGTCAGCTCATTATTCCCTGAAATATGTAACCACTTAAATCATACAGCACAATGAAAGCATCCAGCCCATAAAAGCCAACAACCAGTTTTCACTTCCTAGAAATATGACCACTTAAATCATAACATTCTCCAGCAACTTTTCAGCTGCAAAAACTTGGTTTTAAATTCAAATTGACAACCTAAAAACTAAGAAAACTGTAGCAACACCCATATCTAGAGCACATAAAAAAAGTTGAATTTGAATCTTGAATTTTGTGAAATTCAAACAAATGCTATGCCTGCTTGTTTGCAACAATGCTACCGATCCATTTTGTATGTGTACAAGTCATCAGTGCAGCAAGAATGAAACCAACATAAAGCATCCAACTTATGAAAAACATATAATGGCAGCATAAATACCTTTATTCCAGCATGATTATCCATTATCTTTTGCTCAAAATCAACATATCCCCTGTTTATAAGGTCCATCAGTCGACTGCAAGCTATCAAAAGCAAACAACAAAGAAAATGCTAATAGCAAAGATATTCATGCTACCCACAGAATAAACATCACATGTGATTTCACATTCTAACTAGTTGTGATAAGATAAAAGGAGACACGCTACTACAATGGGGGAAAAAAGAAACCTTATGTGAACCCTCCAGCGTGAGCAATTCAATTTTCTTATTTAGCAGCATGTGTGCATGGCACATAACATTTTCCTTTTCCATAACCCCCAACACTCCTACAGTCTTTTTCAGATCAAGTGTCCCATCCTGAGCCTCCTAGATCAACTTGACAAATTTCTTGGTAAACAAGCCTCACCGAAACAGATTTAAAGCCATCCAAATTAACAGCAAGTAGAGATGTGTTCAAATAGAATAAACCTAGGAATATTCTAAACTAACAAAGATGGTAAAAGCTAATCAATCCCAACTTGCCTTGTTATAACATAAATCATATTTAAGGTCTCATCTAACAGCTTAAGATGATTCTTTAAAATGGTATAGAGCCTTATTAATCAAGTGGTCACAAGTTTGAATTTTACTATCCCATTCTATTTGATATAATTAAACACAAGGTAGTGTAGTCTTTTGCTCACTTGAAGGAGGGGTATGTTAAAAAATAATATAAACTATATTTTAGAGCCTAATTAGCTGGAGCTTTTAGGTTGAAATGTTTTTTTGACATACGTAGAGAGCTTTTACGTCGTAGCTGAATTCAGAGAATCTGAAAGTAAATATCAATTTAACCAAACATTCAGCATCCCCAACGAGACGGCTCGATAATATAACAAGCATTAATTTACCAATTGAAAATGTGACACATTACCAGCATTCAATCTTTCAGTCATTGATTCGCCATGTTTCGGAACCCTTGACTTACTTCTACGCTTACCCCCAGAAGATGACTAGAGAGCAAGTAACAAGTGTTTGATCAGTAACTATATCACTTTGCGCACGGATGGTTCATGGCTGTATCTCTAGCAGTCTGAAACTAAGGATTATCACCTTCACTTTTCGTCCCCAACTGTAATAATTATCATACAAATTCAGATTATAATTACAACCTAATTAAAAAGAAAATTCAAAAGATTGCATGATCTGTGACCAACAAATTCTAATACAGCTTCATTAAAACATAGCAGTTGTCTCAAATTCATCAAAGAACATAGCGCAACACGTAATTATTTCAAGATTAAATATATAAAAAATAAAAACAAATTAAATCAAGATCAATCAACAAAATATAGTGAAAAAAAGAGAGTAAAAAGAACTGACCGCGACTTCACGGAATGCAGAGTGCGTGTTGGAACTGGAATTGAAAGCCGAGAAAAGTGTTATTGTTAACAGGAGGAGGAGGAGGAGGGACAGGCGAGTGGTGAGGTTTACGGAAAGAGGAAGGAAGTGTCGATTTGAAGGCGTTGAATTATGTGAAGAAGAAAATAAATTCTGATTATGAAAGTGAGAATGAGAGTGAAGCAACTGAAAGTGAAATTGCGAAGGGTTAATTGTCCGGGTCGGATCTTCGCCACTATTCGCCATGAAAGAAGATTGGTTTATCTAGGAAAGGAAGGATTAGTGAAGGGGAAGATTAGAATACGGTAGTGGACCGGATAGAAGGATTTAGAATCGTAGAGAAGAAGCAGCGCTGAGCAAGGGAGCTCCGAATGCGTGTACGCCCGCCTTTTTGTTGCCCCATCTTCCTCATTTTTTTTTTTTTTCTATTTCTATTCTGTTTGATTAGGTTATTATAGTTGCTTCTGTTTCTTTTGAACCACGAAGAAATTACCATTGGGATATCAACTAGCTTTTGTTTATGTTTTATGACTTGGTAGAAATTAAAATAATTTTTTTTTTTTATATAAAATCTTGATTTATATTTATTTTGTTTATAAAAATTTATTTTTCCATAATTTTAATTAGATATATATTTTTTAAGACAGAAATTCAAATTATTTTTTTAAAATTTACTATTTTTAAACAACAAACACAAAAAACCACAACAACATCAAACACACTAATCCTAGTATTGTTTTTTGTTATAGGACCAGATTTCACTGTAATATTTATAGACAAGAAAAACAGAGTAACTATTTCAAGGATTAATTTACTTTATAAACTTTCTATATCCCGCCAGCAAAATACATTTTAATCTCTTCTATAAACGCTCCTTGTGTATTGGTGGGACACTGATCAACCACCAACAAAAATCATTCTATTTTAGGTGAAGAAACTAAATTAGAATCTGAGAAGCCCAAGATCATGGGCCGCATATTTTCTCTTGTAGATTTTTTGCAGCCCAAAACAGATGCAAATTCACCTTTATCCGTGCTGTCACTTTCTCTATCTTGTTCCATGAACTTTGGATCGTGACACGCTGACACTAACCACTTGTCATGCTGGCACGAAAGGAAGGCAGAAGAGGGATCGCGACGCTAACTAGTTACTACTCCGAGAAATTAAATTTAGCTCCAAAAGTAGGATTTGTTCCCGCTTTATCTTACAAAGCATAAATTGCATGAAACATCAAGTTGCCACATCTTGGAAGACCAAGATCGGGCAGAAAAAAATGGGTCACAGCAACCACATTGCTACCCCTCCTTGTAAAAACTCAGAATGCAGGGTTGCAGAATTTCATTTCAGGTAACTTCACAAAATTGCACCCAGAAATGGGAAGAGATTGCGAATAATGAATACAATGCAAGTACCTTCGGGTAGGCAGGCAATTATTTGCTTGCTAACATGCACGAAGGAGCTTGGCTTGATCCCTTTATTCTTTTTGAGTAGGGATTAGCAGCTACATATCTTGGTCCCACTAAGGATATGTAACCCCCAAAGGAACTCACCTGCATCGATGGAAGAACCTGCATTTGCATCAGAAAACACAAGGGAATATCAAACCAATGCATCTTAATAATCCCCGTCAAGAATTAGACTGTCTGCTTTCACCCCTCAAGAACAGATATCAAAGGAAAGAAGCACATATAATAAATATACTGTTTGAAAACTTCCACTTCTATTGCTCCCAGAAATTCCGAACTTGAAACTAAAACGCTAACAGATACCCACAACACTAAGCCAACAAAAGACCGAAATGTTTTTGAAAATTATCACAAATGTAGCCAACAAACCTTATATTCACGTAGCCAAGGTTCTGAAATTTGCATACCAATTGCCATTTTACTTTGCTGTAAATTGTGCATGCATGTTGCAAGAGGCTGTATTCAAACAGGAAAAGCAGTTAAGTTGTTACTCCACTATGATTGAAAGCCTATTAATGTAATGCTATAAAAAATATCCAGTAACAAAAACTGCATTTTAACTAACAAACAGTTGGCTGAAAAATTATTATTAATAAACTGACATCTAAAATAGAAATGAATGTGTATAAGCAAGTATTAAGTTGGAGAAAATTCAAGAATTTGAATCAAATGACCTGAAGATACTGGTGGTAGATAGCAAACAGTGCCGAATACGATCGAAGTGGCAGGAGAACCTTAACTAAGTTCCAAGCATCTGCATCCGGAGCAGCAATTACTAGACTGCACACAGATTGAACAAGAATTATCAGCTATCCAGGAAAAAACCCCATTGAGCTTTAATTATATATATTTTTTAATCTAATTACAGATTCTATTGACTAATAAACCAATCATTCATATCCAGCTACCTAGAGAACCCATTTTCCTTCCACAACATAAGTGCCTCTTGCGATGCCTTTTCTCCAGCTTTAGGGGCTTTGCCCATTTTGCTTTGTGGAGAGACAATAGTCTGTGAATCTGCAGCCTCATGCTTGGATGGAAGTGGCATTTCTTCCATGCTGATAGATGAAATTTGGACCTACAAGTATTGATTCTCCAAAACAGTTACTGGAGTGCAAGATAAAAATATACCATGGCAATAAGCAAAATCTTGCTTGCATTTAATTCTGCATTACAGGAGTCAATTTTCTTAGTTGTTCCAGTTTGGTCTGAACAAAGGTCACGCAGAGGATCCCGCACAATTCTGGACAGAACATATTAATTCCCTTAAATGAAATTAATGTGTTTAAATAGAAGAATAAAATAATGAGAAATGGATGGGCGGTGGCCAGGTGGGGGATTAAATTTAAAAACAAGACCAATCAACAGAATACACCAAAAACAAAAGATGAGAAGGAACTTTGAATCCATGAGTTCTCTGATTTGGAAAAGGCTTAGCAAGAGTATGCTGATCCTATGCATACTAAATTACCTGTCACAGGTCAGGAAGGGCTATGAAATCAAACAATTCTACACAGGAGTCACAACCCCTGAAGGAATCAGTATGACAAATTACTAATTTTTCAGATGCAAATAATATGCTTTCTCAACTATTTCTGAACAATGAGGCAATCAAATAGATCAATTTTTTTTCATAAGTGAGTAAAGTTTTTCCACTTGCAGAATCTATAATGAAACTCAGAACATGAAGCACCTTTTGCAAATTTCATTATTGAAGTTGAATGTTCTAACTATTTCCACAGGAGATGGTGTGCTTCCAAGATAAGTATTGCAAACACAACCTGTACCTGTTAAACAAATAACATCATTCACAGTAAAAAATCACAGCTAACAAAATACAGAGGTTTAAGCCAAGAAAACACTTATAAGAAGATACATTCCTTTGATAAAATTATTCATGATTAGTGGGTTTTTTTTTTTTAGATTAAAAAGGTATAATATACTGAAACCTAAAGAAAGGGTAACCAAAACGTAATTAAAGCAAACATGATCTTCCCTTTTGTGTTGGCATTTTTCTTTTACAAAATAAAGCTAACAGCATATAAAGCTACAGAATTCTAAGGGCTTTTGAGACTAAAACAGAGATCATACCTCCTAAACACTCCGCCACAGCACCAGTAAGCCACCAACCATATCCACTAACAGGATATCAGAGTTCGCAGAAACATTAGGAAGTGAAAGCAATAAGGATAATGCATATACTCGCAGGAATCTGAATCGAAGGCAGAGAATTCAGATACCAACTAAAGAGTAAAGACTGCATCTATTTAAATGAGAACAACCAAAAACCATCACTTAATCCTACTGATATTCATAAAGCTATTTCCTATTTACATAATTAGACACCTGTTCAGCCCTTCAATCCTCTTTTTTTATAGAAAACATTATTAAGGTAATTGATCTAAGATACCCAAATGGTCATGCTGGTATTTGTTGCCGTGATCTTTCACTCTTCCATCACTTATGATGTAATTTTATTTTTGCTTGAACCATGTCATATAACTACTTAAAAACCCTAAGCTAGATAATCTCTCTTGCAATGTTCAACTTCAAGAGAATAAATATAGCATGATAAAATAAAATGCTTCAAAATGATATCAAACTAACTAACAAAATCCTGAATAAAGAATATTTTTATATACCAAAATCAAATAAAATAAATCATGTAGTTAAATAGAATATAAAAGTACCCGATTCTATTTGGGCATTTCTTGAGGTAAGCCTCGCAGATGCTGAAATAAACAGGAATGATAATATGTCAGCGTATAGAATCAGGTCAGGTGACCGAACATTTTCACACAATATTCATCAAATTTTAAGGCCACTTCTTTCATGATGAAGCTTATCATGGAAGTACAGAACAGGACTCAAGTTAAGAGCAATTCAGCCGATTCCAACAAGGTGATGAAAAAAATAAACTCATAAGCGATGAAGCAAGAGATTACCTTCTAGCAGAAGGTCGCCTCAAAAGCACTCTAGGGGCATATTTTTTTTGCTTCTTAATCCTATATTCCTCCTGCAACCACACGAGACACAGCATATCAATTAATGACTTTTTGGCCGACCAAAATTTCATTTATTAAACAGCAAACTTACTTGAGAAAATGCTGTTTTCTTCTCAAATGTTGCACTGTTGGCAATGAGAGCTTCAATAATCTCGTCACCTTTCACACCCTGCCTGCACCAAACAAAGTTTATAATTTCTATCTTAAAGAAACATTGATGCTGTATAGAACTGTAGGCTACAGCATCGATGTTTTAACCCGTATTCAAAATAAAATCATAAACTTTTTTACGCAATTCACCTCGCATTTCGTCCATGTCTTCACTAGTAAGGGTTTGGGCTTCATTATTATCAACAATAGCTCGATCATCCCTACATTCGTCCACTATTTGACATCCTTCTCTTTCTTGATCATTATTACCCACCAACAAATGTTCATCAAAGACATCAGTAAACCAAACAAAGCTCTTATTAACCAATGATAAAGCAATTAAACACAGGGTCAAGCACAATACCTTCCGTGGAGGTAATAAACCTAGATGAATAGGGCCCTTCAGTTCCATTCTCGATTTAAAAAGAAGAGCCAAATGGGCATCCAATCAAGGGCCGTGAAGAGTAATTCTTATTTCCAATTTTCAAGGTCCTACAAATTGAGAAAAAAATAAAAACTTAAGCATTCATTAATTTTAACAATGGAGCAAAAAAAATAAAAGTACAGGAAACTTACGAGCCAGCCGTTAATCGGGCAAACACCAGACGGTCGCCATCGTTAATGTCGAGACTGCAACCTTCCCAGGTTACTCTAGCGTTGATGTCGAGAAGACACTGCAACCTTCCCAGGTTACTCTAGCGTTTTGAACTGAATCTGGTTGAATGTTATTTTGGGACATGTTTGGCCCTTATTGTTACTCTCTATGGCTAGAATTTTCTGCAATGGAGCACTGAAGTGGTGGTAACTGATTTCTTCGAACTTTCCAAAAACGGCATAAAACCCAGAGTATTGGGGTTTCAGGGTTTTCGTTATTAACCGTTGGAAGGTTCAAAGCTAGTTAGGAAAGGACTGCGTTCGGGGGGTGATGAGAGTTATTGTTTTCTCGAATATAAGTATTTTTATCATTTAATAATTATTTTTGATATTGTTATATTTAAATATTTAAAAATAAAAAAAATCAATTTTTTTATAAAAACACTTTAAGAAAATAATAACAAGCCGGCCCTTCATCTTAAAAAAAATAAAAAAGGCTTTTTTAAACTTTTATTTATCGGCCCGGACTAATTTCAAGTTTCATGGTATGGGCTTGTACAGTTATGGTCACGTTAAGTCATCGGCCCTCTCTAAACAAATTTGGACCAAGATTTCTGTCCTAAATCCCACGGTTTTTATATCATATCATCCAAGATAATTTATAAAATATGTATTTTTATGATAAAACTCATCGTGAGATTATAAATCCAAATATAAAACAATATTTTTTGAGAAATAAGATATAACAGAATTAAGTTAAATGATAATACCAATATTTCATATTAGCTAAAAATCAATGACTTATAAGCTACAAATATCATATATATTTTTGAAGTATTTTTTTAGAATAAAAGGGTGTTTGGCTAAGTAATGTCTGCTGTATTTTTTAAAAACTCAACAAAACTAATATTTGGTTATAAATAAGTAGTTGTGGTTTGGTTTATGGAACCCACTAAAAAAAGATTTGACCGTAGGTTTTGATAAAACAACTTTTTCATACTTCTTGTTGCGTTTTGTTCTGTATTAGTAATTTAAAAAAACAGTTATATGGGTGCCATAGTCAAGTTTCCTCCCGCCACCTGCGAATATTGAATGCTTGGTGTCATCATTATCAATGTACACAAGAAAGAAAAACAACCACCGTGTTGAACATTAATATCACTCATCTATATTTATAAAAATCATATGAAATAAAACCCAGATCTATATGAGATATGATTAACGAAAGATAAGAGATAAAAAGAGATATATAATATGCTTGTGGAGGGGAGGGGGGCGTGTTAACAGGGGAAAAAGCTTGGCTTTTCTCTTTATTGTTCTGGGCAGATTATGTTCGGTTTAAAATTAAATATATTAAATTAGGTTTGATTTAATTAAAAAAAATAATTTTTTTAATTATATTTTATTTAAAAAATTAAAATGAAATCACTTAATGATATAATATTTACAAAATTTTATCAAATAATATTTATAATATAATAACTATAATTAAATTTATCATATTTAAATTAAAAACCATTAATATATATATATATTTAATTATTTTATAATTTTAAAAAAATATTTTTTTAACCAAACAAATTAAATTATTTTTATTCAACCTTAATTTCAATAATAGTTTTAATCAAATATATATTTTTTAAAATTAATTTTAATTTAAAATATTTATATATATATATTTTTAAATTACACCCACATTGCACTCCTAGACAGGACTGCAAACATGAAATAATCTCTCTTAAATTTATGGGCCAACATAGAGTATTGTGCCTCTTCTCCCTCTACTCAAGATTACAGATGAAGATAATTGGCCCGAAGGT